CCACTAAAGAATATATATAGCAATAATAAACTTAACAGGGTTCTTCCCACTTTTTAATCTGAAGATACATGCAGCAATATGAAACTGCTAAGATGCGAAATGACTAAACACTTATACGAACTGGACATAGCAATTATAACAGAATAACAGAGTGGGAAAGAACCTGGGAGGTCTTCTAGTTCAACTCCCTGCTCAAGCAGGAGATCCTATACTATTTCAGACAAATGTTGTCCAATCTCTTCTTAAAAGCCTCCAGTGCTGGAGCACCCACAATTTCTAGAGGCAAGTCATTTCACTGATTAATTGTTCTAACTGACATATAATCTGATTATATGCTACACTGTGAAGATTTTAAATATATGTGCTTTTAAATGTTCAATATTAATGACACAACATAGAAAATAATTTTACGTGCACATGCATATATTTAGAGACTGTATAAAAAAACTGCCTCTCTAACTGTATTAGGCAAATTTGTGTTTATAATAATTGATTTGACTGATACATTAGTAAAATCAAAGCAGTTCTAATGCAAAGTACAGTTCAGTACTGATTATCTGCAGTGTCCATGGAAGGACTTTATTCAGAGGTGTCTACAGGACATGTGGGTCAAATGAGGAAAATAGGATCACACCAATATAACACAAGCCCCAGTTCCTTTATATATGCTTTATGACAACACACACACTCATAAGAAAGGGATGAACCTTGTGTAAAAAAGAAGAAGACTTTAGTTATTTTAATGTAATTCCATCTTCATTTTCATTTCCATAATTTACAAGCCAGAAGATTCTATGCATTCCTCTGTGTTTATTAATTCCTGACAGAACATTAAATCTTAAGAAAATATGTATTTATTATTTTTAGGTTAAAAGATTTATAGCTCTTTTTATAAAAATGAAACTACATATCACTAATATGTATAACAGAATCCCCTGAAAGTGAAAAATTTCATGAAAGGGAACATATTCCCAGGTCATAGGGAATAAGACTGCAGTGTTAGCTTTATTTATGTATTTTGACCCGTTTTATTGTTAGCATTTCCTAATGAACTGCGAACAATGTTGGTACTATTCATAAAAATCTGGAAAACAGCTGAAAAAGATTTGGGTTTTTATTCAGATAGATATTAGACTTTCAAATCATCAGTCTTTTTGACTGGAATATAGAGCCATTTGCACTGAGTTCTTTTATCAAAGTTGCGATATCCAGAACTTAAGATAGACTCAGAAATAGACGTTAAGGGAAAAAAAAAATCTCTTCACTAGCTTTGCTCATTATTTTTCCAGAACAAACGTACAGGTAGTCCTTGACTTAGAATAGTTCACTTAAAGATCATTTGAAGTTACGATGACACTGAAAAAAGTGACTTACAACCATTTTTCTGACTTATGACCACTGTAACATCCCCCATGATCACATGATCTACATTTGGATGCTTGACAACTGACTTACATTTATAATGGTTGCAGTGTCCTGGGGTTATATGACCATCCCTTTGCAACCTTCTGACAAGCAAAGTCAATGGGGAAACCAGATTTGTTTAATAACCAAGTTACTAATTTAACAGTTGCAGTGATTTATGTAACAAATGTGGCAAGAAAAGTCATAAAATGGAACAAAACTCACTTAAAAGATTTCTCACTTAGCAACAAATTTTGGGTTCAATTGTGGTCATAGGTTAAGGACTATCTGTATTTATACAACTCTCAAATTCCATATTAGTGAACATTCAAGCATGCATTTATTGATATTCCACATATACAATATTATTTCTTTATAGCTAAATGTAAGCCACTGCATATGAAACTATTTTAAAATCCATACATTGTCAAGAGAAATGTAGATCACCCTTTAATGGAGAGACTTTTCAGTTCTTAGTTAGAAAATTGAAGTGTTCAAGGTGAACATAACTCCTCCATATTAATGAAAATTTGTATTTAAATGTAACAGATACCATTTTTTTAAAAAAAGATACTGCTTTTGTCAATACTACAAGTTTATAGAAAAACTTCCTTTATAAAAACCTATTTTTATCCTATTATTTTTTGAAGGTTTATGAAAGCCTAGTGGATGGCTGGATTTGCTATTCAGACATCAGGTTTTTTGATACATACTTGTTCAATATGTTGCACTGAAATAGTTATGTATACAAGTCATTATAGTATGGACAGTTTTTAGTTTTTCCATACATGGTCTCAAAGAGCACCAGGTCAATAAAGAAAAGCTCTTGGTCAACATCTGGAGCATTTCAAACCAAGATTTAAACAGAGACCATAAAATGAGGTGAAACTTAATCACTTGAAAAGTATTGCCATGCGAAAGGAAAGAGTTGCCATAAGATTACTATCAGGTATAGAACAAAGGAGGAGGTCTAAGGGCAATGAAGATGGTCACATGTTATGAAAGAGATACAAGAGAAAGCTGTTATGAAAAAAAAACCAATCCAGAATAGCTATACAGCACTATTCCACCATAAAACTTTAATTTTAGTTACCATTTTCTAAGATCACATTTGGACACAAATTTCTTACAAATCAAGGCCTGAGATTCTGTTCAAAGTAGCTTATAATCAATAGTCATTTTTATGACAATTACTTAAATCTTCTTCAATTTACCCCCAAAACTTAATACATTACTATTCATTACATTAATATTAGGAAGCTGCCAGCTAGGCAAGAAGGAGCACTCAAGTGGGAATTAGCCTTGAATCCAAGAGACCTAGGGTTAATCCCCCTTTCCCATAACTTTCATGGGTCTTTATCTATTTGTTTCCATGAGAAAGCAAGCAGTTTGGGGACATTCCTGTATGATAGGCAGGATATAATAAATAGTCCATTTAAACTCTACATGTGAATTTGATTGCTTCTGCCTGACAATTAACTTACACCACATATATTCAGATCAAGCTGGAAAATCTTAGTTTTTCAAGCACAATCTACACAAAACATAAGCAGATTGTTATTGACAATGCTCAACCTTGGCCTGAAGCCAAATGATTGAATTAAAAAAAAGAAAGTTATAACAACATGAGTCTGTTGGCAGACTTCTTAAAGAAAAAAAGATATCTGAAAAATAAAGTAGTTGCCCCTGTCACCATTAACATTAAGGATACCAACATATCTCTGCTTATTAACTGGAACTGAGTGAAATAGTTTTCACCTAAAAGAGTATTTATAAACTTGCAATCTTTTGTGCTTTCTTATCAATGCTAACTCTAAGTCTTCATTTGAATGCCATGAACTACCTTGAAGCCTAGAATTTAGAATATTTAAACTATTATTTATTTATTTAGTATATCAACTTATATCATAATTATACTTCTACTCCTCATATGTTAAGTAGAAACTAAAGCTTTTTCAACTCATAATGAAAGCAACTTAAGAATTGATAGGTGGTGGTGGTGGAGGATTCAGAGACAATAGAAATAGCCTGGATAGCTCGGTGCTTATGTTACATAAGTACAATAATTTTAACAGCCTATACATTAGGTACTTAAATCAGTTGTTGCATTTCTTGTGCCAATCATTTTAACATGACATCTGTGCTGGCTAGAACAATTATTTGGTGAAAATTGTTCTATATATTTAAATAAAAAATAATTTTAATATGTTTAATGCAGAAAAGATAACACTTTCTGTACTACACTACATTATATCAAAACTCAAGAACTTGATCAGAAAACAGCATTACTGCAAGATGTATTTCTTTTCTTATTCTTTTGAACAATTATGAGTATAAATCATAACTAATCTTTGATGTGAACAATGAATTTAAAAAGAAAAAATCCACAATAATCTACATTTTTATTTACTTACATAATCATAAATATCTTATGATCACTAGATTGCTTATGGCATAAACCAATCTCTGTCCCTCAAAAGTCTTGAGCAAAACAAGTATATTTTCATGTGTTTTAAAATGTATGATTCCTAGAAAAAGGAGCCACATTTACTATCATTATATTTTGCCAAAATAGAGATGTGAAAGATATTGGATTCAAACATGAGCTGTTTAAACAGAGTTATCTACTGAAAGTATCCCATGATGATCTCGGTACAAACTTTGATTCAAAAAGCGTGGGCTGGAAAGAGAAAGAACATGGTTCAATATTGGATGCAGAGCATAGATGATATTTACAACCACCATAAATTAAAACGGTGTGCAGTTTCCATAGCATGACAGCCCTTACTAATCAGAGAAATATTTTCTGTTCTTCTGCCAGAGTGAGATAGTCAGAAAATCTACTCACCCTCCTATTCAAAACAAAAGATTTTACTACTTCCTAATTAAATGCAACGGGCTAGATAAATTAAGGGACAACAGACACTTTCTCAAAATGTTTAAATCTTTTAAAAGACAGCTCAGAGCTGGTTTCTAAAAGACAACATCCCCCAATTACATAGGGGCTTAAGTATACCATGATCACCTTAAAATTATACTTCTGTAACACACATTACTATTGTGCACATAGCTAGAAGAGATATTTTCTCTTTATTCCCAAATCTCAGTCATAAATAAAACAATATTAAAAATATTTATGAAAGTAAAAGAAAGTGACAAAAAGGAAATGTGTTTTATATGCAACCATTTTTCAGTAAAACAAAAACAAAATTCACATCTGAAACTCACATCCTGAATTTTAAAGCCCATAAAGAACCATTTTACACAGTTCAATTCTTCAAAACAAGATTTTCGGTGTCATTGTTCAGAACGAAAAATGGTCTTTTTAAAAATCTTATATATAGCAATGTGATTGAGCACTGTGATCCTCAATTTCTTTAACTGACAAATAATATGAGACATGATGTCTTTGTATTCTGCCCTTCCCTGCTATCCCGCAACCAGCACAAATTGGATGAAAGTTGATAATATAGTATAATGCCATCAGATGATATTTCTTACTTAAACATTAGCAACAGGACATGGAAGAAAATATAGGATGGCATTGTAATTTCCACACTTATAATGTATAAACTTGTAGAAGTATCAATACATACCTGCAGTTGGGAGGTGGATCTAAGGTGATGTCAGCTAATTCCTTTTGAATCCTATGACAATAAAGAACGAAGGTTCATTATTTTGTCGAGTTAGTTTGATCTGCTTTTATGTTTCCCTATTAACAGAAGTGAAAGAAAATTGCATAAATTTACAAAACAGAGTTAGTCAACATTTTCTAATATTTCCAATCAATATTTTTATCATTTAAATTAAATGTAAGGCAGTAGACAAAGAGGCATGAAATATTCCTTCTTTTTCCCTCCCGAAACAAGACACAGATCTATTCTTCTCTATATAAATTCCTAATGAAAACCTGCTTTTTTATTTTTATTGTTTCTGTTATAATAATAGAAACAAGATACAGAGAACTAGATTTATTAGGCAACTTGGTGAATATACTGCTTCAAATTCCTGTCACAGAGCAAACATACATAAGGAGGATCATAATCACAATGGTGGTACAATACAAATATTTGCAGTTGTAATTGACATTGACAAGTCTTGCTACTGAAACAAGACATATTTTACATGGAAGTCTTAAAATATGTACTGAATTCAAATTGATTTGAAAAACAGAAATTGTTAATTGAAATGCACATTATAATAAAAAGCAGAGTCCCCCTTTCATAAAAAACAAATATTTTGTCATATAATCTGATTATCTTAAAGCAGCAACCAAACATAAAACAATCTTTACACTCCTTATGTTAAGACCATTGTTATAATCTACATCTTTGGATAGGTAAAGGGCTATGTAGTAAGTCAGCAGGAATTTACAGTCTTGGTTTCCAGTCACATGCTTTTAACTTTTCTCACGTCAATATCAGTAATATAGACAAATGCTAAGAAGAAAGTTATCAGGAAAATAATCCACCTTTAAAGGAATGGTGATTCTGATTTGGAAAAAGTTATTATCTTTCACAAAGAGGAGTGAAACAGGGATATTGAAAAGAGTAAAATCACATTTTAAAAGGCAGTAAATAAAGATTCTAGATAAAAGACAATCTCACCTTTTTGCGCTGGTGGAAAGGAGCTTGGAATTTTTACTCATGCTGACTTTACTTTCTTTCTTCTTAGGTGTGTTTGTCTCTTTCTCAGTCTGTTGGTTGGAGGATGAAGATGAAGAAGAGCTGGTGCTAGCCCTTGAATCGTCATCCGACATAGCTCCCCCCCACTATAGCTCCACCCAAACCTGGAGAAGAAATACCACAAGGAACAGGGAGGGAAACTGAGAATTACTAATCACTGCATGTGTGTGTGTTTTGTGTGTGTGTGACTGTCTGTGTCTCTGTGTGTACAAATCTCAAGATTCTAACTCTTGGGAAACATTTTCTTCTCCCATTGCAGGGGAAATATAGAAACTGGATTAAAAGAGGAAAAAGAAGTAAGTCTCTTCTCCTTCTACTTCAGTAGCATTTAGTGCTAGTTCCATCTCTAGAAAGGAGGGGGAGATAAGGAAAATGAAGGTGACATAGGTCGGAGGAAGGAAGGAAGGAAGGGGAAACAGGATTACTGAGACTAAATAATTTCCTTAAAAGTCTCCTCTTGCAATTTTTTTATTTGAGTGAGACTTACCAAGACCCCTCTCCCAAACATGCAATCCCAAGACACAGGCATATGGAGAAGACACTACCAACAGTAATTCACTGCCTCTTAAGCATAAGAAAATGTTGGTGGGAAAGCAGGGGAATCCTTATTTACAAAGCTTAGGCAGAAAGAAGAAATTACCATTTGGAAAGAGGGCTGTACTAAGAAAGCCTGATCAAAAGTAAAGGTAGTAGGGTGATATTTTAAGAGATTAGAAAGGAAATTTAGAATCCCAAGATGAGGAGGAATGGGAATACTTCTCAGGAAGTGTATTTACCCATGACTACTAATTTAAAGAGAGGGGGAGGGTTGATTAGAAAAGAGATGAGGTGCGTGTAGGGAACGGAGATTTGTAGCTTTCGGCCACCATTTGTGCGTTAAGGGCGATAGGAATTTCTGAAAGGCGTCTGTGGGGGTATTTGGGTATCTCTACAATTTAAAACAGCTTCTCCAACGGGACTCTCTGCCCCCAGATCTTTTCGCTGCCTGCTGAAACCCCCTCCCATTTCCTGCTACCCACTTCTCAATCCGGAGACCCCCTTCTTTCACTTCAGCCCTCTCCCCCACCAAATTTTTTCCTCTCCAGCCCATCTTTCGCCTCCATTCACAAGCGGAGGTGGGGGTGATGGTAGTGGTAGTAGAGCTGCACATCGAGGCACCTCTCCTGCCACTCCGGCCTCTTGCCGCTCAGCCGAAGGTACAGCTGGGCTGGGGGCGATATCTGACCGTCCCAGAAAGGATCACCCCAAATCCTTTCCTTCTTCCCTCCCTCCCTCCCCCCCGATCTCCTTTGCCAACCCACGTCGTTCTCCCATCTCTCGCTTTCCCCGGGCAACCACAAAGCCCCACCGGGTCGCTTTCCCCCGTTTTTCCCTCAGAGCTTGTCCGGACCAAGCCGCGACCCAGGAAAGGGGAGCTGTGTCTGGTCGTGGCCATGGGGTACCCCTTCCCCATACCTCTCCCTTTGTGTCTGGCTGCTCCTCCTCGGTGCGGCTGGGCCTGGCCACTCGTGTGTCTCTCGCAGGGAGAGAAGCGGAAGTGCTGCAACAGCAACTATTAAACAGGCAATGGCTTCCCTGCCTGGCTCAACCCCCCCTCCCTCCCCCCGCCGCCAAGCAGGGAGGGCATCCAGCTAACCGGCGCCACACATAGTACTCTATACACATACACACACATACACACACATAAACACAAACACAACTCTCGTTCTAGTTATCAATGGGCAGGGGGTCAGTAACTAAAGAGGCACCACTGCCCCATCCCAAGAGTGTTTCCCTTGGGTCATATTTTTATTCGCAAACTGCGCCCCGAAGATTTTCAGATGACAACGGAGAAAAGGGGATAGGTACCTCTCCCCCCAGACTTGTGAGGCGAATCTCCTCTTTTCTGGAGCAAACGGGTAATACTCCACACCTTGACACGCTACTCTTCAGAAGACTTTAAAAATAATGATAATGACAACAGCAGCATGAATAATAAATCAGATGTGCGCTTTAAAAGGTATCTGACAGGGAAGACGAACAGAGGCTCTCACCCTACACTCACATTCCTAACAATTGGGTTTTTTTTTTCTTTTTACCTGTAAGGACAAGAGCATAAAACTTGAGGGCAGAAGGAAGTGTCTAAGTAAAATAAAATATTGGAAAGTGGTCAGATTTAAAAATTACCTTATTCCTTTACTCTCTTACACACACACACACACAGACAGACACAGACACACACACACCCCCCTCTGCTCCCTGCTTTTGCAGGCAATACGTCTGCTCTCAACTATCTTCTCCGGGGATTTGACTTTTCTGCTTTTCTATGTCCCTATCACTTGGAACGCATACTCTTTTCCTCTAACTTAATCTGCTACATTAACTTCATCTTTGTAGTGGTGGTGTAGAGGGGTCTTGTTTTTACTTTATTGCCTATTTTAAATAAAGCAATTGGTAACCATTTAAGTTTCTGGTACTTCAAACAACGCATTATTAAGAAACTGTAGTCACAATCCAGCCAGAGTTGTTGATGGCAATCTGTAGATTCTGGCACCATTGTTTTTTTTTAAAAAATGATAGTGCTTGATTATTTAAACTGTTAAAAACATGTCATGTTAGTAAAATGTTTATTAACATCCACATTATATCATTTTTCTCACTTGGCTCTTGTCTCCTCAGATATGCTCATAGTGTTAAAACCCATTGAGTAACATCATTACCTTATAATGGGGAACTGTAATGTTATAAATCCTATTCTGGGATTTTTATGAACATGTCTGAAATTGGCAGCAAACTGAAACAAAATCAGTCTTATTTTCAGATGTATTACTGAGAAACCTATGAGTCAAAAATTCTTCATTTGGTTTTTTCTCTTTAAACTGTTACACTGATAGGCTATTTGTAAGAGACAAGTTACATGATGGTATATTAATTAGATATATAAATGGCTGAAGTTTCTCACATATTGGTAGGCTCAGCATTATTGTTAGTGAAGAAAGAAAGCACTGGTTTTGTCCTTCTTTCTACTTATTTCTGAGTCAACATGTATAGGATTGCACTATTAATTCAACCTAGAACAGAAAAGGCCATTCAAAAGGCATGCTAGCAAAATCCAATAGAGTGGATGCATTCAGCTGGACAGTCTTTTTCTTTCCTTACGAGTTTCTGTTTGTGTAAAATAAAATGACATAATAGTCTTATTTAACACTGAAATCCAAACTGAAGCAAGTTGGAATATCTTTAACTGTAGAAAATATAGTGTGCTCATACCAAGTCATCAACATTTTTCAATTTCACCTTTTTAGCACCCTAGAATCTTAGAACTGGAAAGAATCATTTAGGTCATCAAGTTCAACCCCTTGCTCAATGTAAGAATCCGATTTAACGCCTCTCAAACAGATGGCTGTCTTGCTTCCTGTGAACATACTCAATTATGGGAAGTCCATCGTCTCTTTAGTAATTGGTTCTACTGTGAAACTGCTCACTGTTAGAAGTTTTTTTTAATAGCCTTTTAGAATTTGGCTTAAAACTGAGGGGCACTACGTAGTTAATAAAAGCAATATTGCTCTATCTTGTGTAGATGCAGTAAATGGAGAAAAGTCAGCACTCCAAATGGCTTTTAAACACGTGTAATTTGATTCATTGCAACATTTCTTTCATATGGAGTCCAGCTGTTTCCCTCAGCCTACCCTTATTAAACCAGAAGACAGATCTGTCTCTGAAAGAGGCCAAATATTTAAACAAGGGATATCTGATATATATTGTAATATACATTGTGAATTTCAGACTTAAATATGCCAATGGGAAGGAAAAGCCCAAACCATGTGAACTAATTTTCCAATTCCAATTCAATCTGCAGCAGCAAGAAATTGTTGCTACTCCATCTTGCACACATTTTTTCTATTATATTACTCACTTTTTAAGATCAAAAGAGACTGATTTCAGAACAACTTGCTCTTTATTTTCACGATAGGATTTTCAAATTCATTATTTCAAAGTTTGGTTTGCTGGTTAAATAAGTACTTCCTTTATTTCTTGGGTTTGGAGATATATCCATTGACTTGCATATAAATATCATTGAACTTAGTGAAACTACCTTCTTAGTGAATATGTATAAAATTGGATTATTATAAATTATTTTAATTTTGCTTTATTTATATTTCATTTTTTTCAATTTAATAGGGTGGAAATAATATAAAAAGAGATCTGAATTTACCTCAGTGATCCAGGATATCTAGAAAGTAAAGCTTGTCTTCTAGGCCTACATAACTGTCAAGAGGAAAGAGTCAAGTTGATAAAGTAAAAATACTTGTAGGTTGCAAAGAAAAGCATGGATTGGTTGTTTTGCAGCTAATGGAAGGGCAGAAGCCCTAGAACTGACTGTGATGGATATAAATCTATTACTTAAAAAAAATTGAGTTGTATAAGCTTGATTGGCCACAGGTTGCAGAGGCCTGATCTAGATGATAAAAAGTCTGAAAAAGTTACACTATGTGTGTGTTTTTGAAATACTTCATTTCTGTCAATAGTATTTCCTTAGGTAGGGTATTCCTTCATAGTTGGATCTTTTAAACCAGGGGTGTCAAATTGCCGGCCCACGGCTGGATGCGTCACACCAAACTGTGCCCACCCCATTGCTGGCAATGGCAAAAAGTCACTATACATCGCGACATGTCATGTGACATCACGAGTTTGACACCCGTGTTTTAAACTAAAGGTTTGCCAATATAATTAGAGTTACAAAGTAGATTTAAAAATTTCTTACTTCAAAGGTACATAAATTGGAATTATAGTCCATCCTAAGTTGCAAATCTGAGAAGCTGAAGTTTATTTAGATGTCAAGACCTTTGCATACATATTATGACTGTGTATGTGTGACACATTATTATGATATACCTTTGGATTTCCTTGTAGTATACTGTCAGCCTTATGAACTAGCTGAAGTAATCCTGTTCAGTCTATATAGTAAAGAAGGCAGGTTCAGGGAAGATAAAACAAAAACAAACATGTTTTAATTTACCCTAATGTCTGTGAGATAGCATTAGAGAGTTCCAATCTGGATGAACATTTTATTGATATGTATCAAGTGGGATGGGGATAGGTAAAAGATTGTGGAATTGAGATGGAAGAGGAAAACATAGTAGGGGTAGCACATCAAGAATGGTTTCTGGAATTTTTCCTAACTCCTTAAGAGCAGCTGCACTCTAGATTTCCTAACTAATGGGGGAGAGGGTAAATAATGGAGCAATTGGCAACATTCTGAATTTCTGCCCAACTGCCTCTTCTGTTGAACTCTGTTGGGCTTTAAAAGATTTTTTTTCCTCTGCTCCAGCTGAATCTGTCCCATTTTTTTTAAACTCAACCTTTCTATTGCTCATTTATCCCAGCACACCCAGTGGTGGGATTCAGCCAGTTCGCACCAGTTCGGGAGAACTGGTAGCTCATTTTTTGTTTCCCAGGCCCAGAATGGACTTCCGGAAGCAGCATCCACACAGCAAGTTGTTCACATATTTGAATCCCACCACTGAGCGCATCAGATCTGCTGCACTTCTATTGTATTTGGACAGTCAGCAAGAGTCCTCAGCCAAATTACATAATTTATTCTAAGATGTCACTGGATTAATACAGCTAGTTCTTAAGTTACAACCTTAATGGAGCTTGCCCATTACAAACATAAGTTGTAACAATTGTAAAAAAAATTGGTAATGTGACTGTTTACAATGTTTTTGTAGACATCATTAAGTGAGCATGGCAGTCATAAGTGTGAACCCTCTATTCACTATAAGTGCAGTTTTGCTGAAAAGTCCTGGTTTTCGGCAAACCTTCATAAAACACAATCTTGTGATCATGGAATGCTGCAAACAGCCATACTGTAAATGCTGAACACCTAAAGTACATCACTGACTGGTGGGAGGGCAGCTATCAGAACTTGGATCCAGGTCATAAATCTTCTTTTTTAAACAGGTTATAACTTTGAATAATCAGTAAGTGACCAGTTGTAAGTCGATGACTACCTGTAAAAGGTAGAAAAAGCTTGCAGAGCATGGCTTCTGGAATTCTTTCCAATTCCTTTAGCAGTAGTGGCCAAAAGAAGCATCAGTAATTTCTTCTCTACTATGTGTGGTGTCTGCTTTATCCTTGTGTTATATTTCTGTCTTTGTGGGAAGGACAAGACAGATTGCATATGTTCTGTGAAAGGAGAAAACAGGAGGAAAGATTTAGAATGAAGCAGTAGCTAATTTTCTGAACAGCTGCCCAGATGTTTTTTCATAAGTATGAAGGAATTTCTTTCTGGAATTTTTTATTATTATTTTTGCTTCTGCCATCATACCAAATTCAGTCCCCCTCATTTAGTTTTTGGAGAGACATCTTGCTGATAGACAGCAACACAAATGTCATGAGCCTCTTTCATTTCAACATTCTGTTGGCTTGGAAAGAAGAACAAGAAGTTATTTTGAAATTTTATATAAAGAGAGTGATGTGATTATCATTCCTTTTCTCTAAATTTAAACTTTTATATCGATCATACTTTGCATCCTTTAATGAAGTGGGTGACACATCAATACAAGTTATTGATAATATTAAATACATAACTGTTGTGTCCTG